GAGTGAAATATTAACGTGACGTCAAAAATAAGAGCAATGTGGACGAGAATTCACGTCATGCTATCAACGGACAGGTATTGACGTCATTCTATCAAGGGACAAGTATTGACATCATTTTATCAAGGGACGCGTATTAACGTCATTTTATCAAGGGACAGGTATTGACGCCATTCTATCGAGAGACAGGTGTCGACGTAATTAACGGAGAAAACTCTCATTCCGAACCATTTGAATGGTTCGGAATGGTTCAAAATGAATAGTCATGTTTTTGCAATAGGCAAGTGTGCACAAGAACGTTTTAATGCTCTGGCTTTCACTAGAAATCCAATAAATCGTTAACAGAATTTGGATTTGGAAATGGGTCTACGTAAGTACTCTATAATATTGTGACTCTTGTTGGAATCGCTATATCCTATTATTGTCAAAGAACAAGTCCAAATAATAAGACTTTGGTGTGAAGCTGCAAAACATTCTCGTAAGTGTTCCTCTCTCATAGCTAAGCTGAGCATTGTTGTTGGCATTATGCCACCCAGTCCGTACTAAGTCGAAATACTAGATATTTGACATTATTTAATTCTCTTCTTTTTATTTTATTTTAAATTGTTTTAGTTTTTAAAGTTTTTATTTAAAATTTTTAAATTTAATTTAAGTTAATTTAAATTTAATTTAAATTGATATTAATAATAATTTATCTACATTCAAAACTGTGACATTTCGTATTTCGACGAGATACTTCACCAAACATTAAAATTAAGAGAAACGACATGTAAATATAAACAAATCTTTCTTTTATTTAGTATTAGTCATACTTTTTCATTATCAAAAGAGAATTGCTTAAAACATATTCATAGCTATTATATTTTATATATTTTCAACTTATTTTACTTGTATATTCTTCGCTTTCGAACTATTCAATCTCAAACACTACGTAATAGATTCTCATAGATACTCGATTTGTTATACATAGTTACTCATTTCACTTGTTTATTTCTAACTCACTAGCTACTCAATTGGATATATTCCGAGCAAATGATCAACCATGTGTATACATGATGTCAATCAGAGATGGGATCAGCTGAATTTGGGATGTCATGGGTTCGATTTCAACCAATATAACGGACCTCATCAATAGTATTGATACAAATATTGACATCCACCGCAAAAAAAACTTGGCAGTACGGCTCCTTATGGGGCCAAAATGTGGAACTCACGAACTCTGGCTGTAATAAATTTCTAATTGATTGTCAGAGTCTTCCAAATAATTTATTTTAAGAAAATTTCAATAAGAGAACGAATAAATCAAAATGATAACAATTTTTATGGTTGATATGCGCGCTCTGAAATTTTAACATTTCCAAAACAATTGAATTCATAATTACTTTTCTATCAATTTATTTGAGGTACTAATAATTGTTATACTGTAAAAAGGTCATTGGTACTATCAGATACACATTCACGGCATAGCTTTTTTTTTATTCTGATGATAATATTTTTATGATATTTGGAATAGAAAGTGGCAACTACAATTTTATTCTTCCTTCTGTCGATTCCACTATCGTATGTAAATGGGTTTAATTAGTCAGTAAGGTACCATACACAAGGCACTTTCTCTCTCGAAGAATTTTGACATATATTAGCGAGCTTTGTTTAGAAATAGAACTCAATAAGTCAACATTTTTCTAGGGCCGCTTCATTTTCTCTTTTCTAGAACGAAAAGACGACCAACTAATTCATTGATCCCTGCAATAAGATCCCTTCTCTTCTTGCGGAACCCGAAACTATAATACTTAGATCAGGAATTAGAATTTACAGACTTTCAAAATAATATAAGCGCTGATATAACCTACATGCCATTTCCTGTTGCTATGGAAAGATATCTAATACTATTCGGTTCCAGTCATCTGGTTGCTAGGGTTGGGGAGGCGAAACCGCAAAATCTCGACTTGAAATTACACTCACTATCATTTTCTTCGAAAATATATGCGAGTTTCACAAAATTAAGAAAAATAAAAACTAGAATCTTGAGGAATAAACAGGATTTCTCGAGATTTGAAACTGTTTTGCAGAACTATGAAAGATATAAGTAAAAAAAACAGAGTAAGAAAGAAAAGGCGTGTTAACGCGGCCCGTTTGGAGCTAAACTGTGGTACTTGCACATATCCTCTAGCCTCATTTAATCGATACAAAATACTGAATAGAAAAAAATCTGTCGTAAATTAATTGTTTTGCAGAATAATAAATCATACGAATAAGGACTTATCTGATTTCTCCATTTCCAACTGAAATTTTTATTTTTTCTATGAGCACCCTAGTTTTTTGCATTGTCATTATCTGTTCGTTATTTTTCATCTTCTTAATTCGTTTTTCTAAATGTGATATTGTTATGAATATAATCATTTTATTTCGCGGGAGAAGAATAAGCCTTATTTGCATATAGACATATATACAATAAGTTTTAACTTACTATTGTACATCTCATGCAATTCACCACCAACGACATTCATTTTTTCAAAATGATTACTTGATCGACTCTAGAAAGCTTGACATCAGTTCGTCTCGACCACTCAAGTCTGTCATGGGGTAATACACCAGTTGCTAATGTCTGTAACCGCTGAATACTGTTTTGTTTTTTATTATTAAGAATGAAAAGATGAGGGACGTAACAGTCTATCCTCTCTAATTAGCTCAATTACTAATTAGTGTAGTCTTCAATTATCGGACAATGAAAACTGGTTATTGTCTGTAATTGGTGACACACAGTACGCTAAAACATCCAGCTAGTTTTTTTTCTCGTTTTTTAGGTCTAGTTCCAGATCCAGCTGTTCTTTGAGTATTGCATTAAGTCTGCACTGTATATTCAATGCTCTTGTGCGTGTGGATGCGTGGGTGTGGGTGGAGGGCTAAGAGACAATCTACACCCACACCCTATATGGATAAAGAAGAACAGGAATATTATCGCATATTTTTTACTTATATGTAAAAAGACAAATGAAACGGAATAGCTGAAAGGAAATGATTCTTTTGCTTGATTGAATGACAACCACATGCCACTAGAATCATTAAAGAATACACGTATTGAGTAATTTCACTTTGAAACACTCATTTTTCGATTCACCTGTAAAATTTTATCCGTGGGTAACACGTAGGGATTCCGCTTGATGAGAGAGCTACCCTTAAATCGAACGACGAGAAAAAAAATACAGAACGTTGTTTTTATTTATTGTGTAGAATGTGGAATTTGAAAGTGTGCCGCTCTTCTCAATCATTCATCTGATGTAATCTTTTCGCTTTCTTTTCGAAATCAAGTGACTTTTTTCTGTACATTTGACTGCAAAGAAACATACAGATAGAAATTCATTGCGACCAGAGAACAACAAGTTTTTTTAGTAATCGTATTAGAATACACAAAAAACCATTCGTACGTCTCTCAACAAAATCTCAGGTTTAAAAACTGGCAACAGACTGTTTCTTTAATAAATGAAATCAAATATTTATGATTCAAATATGAGATATAATGATTCATGTTCAAAGAAAATATCGAAGAATTTCGGATGTTTCTTTATGTTTGATTTACCCTATACATTCTTGTTTTTATTATATAGAACTAGAGAAATTTACATATCAATACATGATATTTCAATTTAGTATTCAATTCTACCACTATGTACTCAATTCATTTTGACGAGATTGCTTCTATATTGTGGCAGTGCCGAGCGTCCTCTTTCCATCGGCTCTCTGCATTAGCGATTGAATGCAATTATAACCATGCTTCTTTTACTTTTCTTCTCCTCCTTGCATGACATTATTGTAAATTTGTAAAAATATGACTCAGATTGTTATAGAGGCACCCACCGTGGAATTTTTTTTCTTCTTTAGTCATTCTTTCGTTACGAAAAATAAAAATTGATACTTGCATCTTATTGTTATGACTTATATCTTATTTCGATGTAGTCATAAGAAATGTCTTTCTGTATCGACAGGATTATAAAAAATCCACTTATATTCTTCTTCTTGTTAGTATTACACGTTGGAATTTTCCATTTTTTTCTATCACTCTGTCTTTCAGGTTGTTTTATGGATTTTCCTTTTTCATTGTTTATTGGAAATTTCCAACTCCTTCTGTCAGTTCTATATGTACAACGTTATGTTGTTGGGAGGAGATTATTATTCATTCATCCTTAGATACAGTTTTAGAAATAAAGTAGAAGTGGGATTGACATCTCACACTTATACCATAAAATTCTTGGTTATTATCATTTTTTCTATTTATATTATGTGTTCTTCTTCAGCGAGAGATAGTATAATATTGAAGCAGTTAAAAAACTTAATCCGAGATCCTGACGTTCAATCATACTTCTATTACGAAAGTTCGAAGAAAGATGAAAACTCGCAACGATTCTGTATATACGGATATTTATTACCTCGAAGTGTACCCTACAAATATGGATCATACAAAGTGTGTATTACGCTACCTCAAGATTTCCCATTCAAACGGCCGGAAATGAAATTATTAACGCACATTTACCATCCAGCTGTAAATAATGAGTGTTCAACACCGTTTTATTGTAGTGGATGTTGCAGTAAACAATGGTCACCTGCCATTACCATCAGCAAAATGATCGAACTTTTTGTAATTGCCATTGATCATCCAGAAGACGCTGCAACGTACTGTGTAATGGATCCAAAAGCTAAACAACTGTACGATCAAAATAGAACCCAGTATGAAGCAAAAGCTTTGGCGATGGTAAAACAATTTTCCTGCTCACGTCCAAATTCGTTAATGATTTCATTAAAGCTTGCTGCCAAACGAATGATATGTAAACAACTTTATTTTGATTCGGTAAAAATCAATCAATTACCATTATCCAATAGCTTGAAACAATATTTGAATCCGTCAATAGACTCCAGTTAGAACATCTAGAAATACTGAAAAATGAATCTTTGACCCACACTTTATTCTAGAATTACAACAAAAAGCACATGAAATGACGTTTCACATACCGCAAGGCTTGCTAACAGGTCAGATGATAACTGCGCTTGAAACTCGAAACCGAAGCTTGGCATTTTCATTTGAGACTTGCAGAACTGAGTGTGTGCCGTAAGTGACCCTTCAAGTATCTACTACATACCAACGACTGTTTAGTGGACAAAAATTAGAAGCGCATGAAATGAAGTTCTTCTCTTTCCGATATCCCTTGCTTCTGATACAAACAAGAATTTTCATTTTCTTTTGTTTCTTGCTGGAAACTGATCATTTTCAAATTTTCTTTGTTGATAAAAGTCTATTCTAAAGATGTGTGTGCGGATGTGGTTATTTCTACTCTCTACACCCACCCTCACACCCGATAGAATATGACATAATAGTCTAGTTGTTAATCTCAATAGAATTGCTGTGCCTTTGTGACTATTGAAATTCAATATTTCGTGGTTGAATGATCGTCTTGTGTATGTTATATTTGGCGAGAATAAATCAAAAAATATTTTTTACGCGAATGTGAATTGTCTCAAGGCAGCACTTGGAGTCCCTATCTGTTCATTGTTTATCACTGTGATCCTGTTGCACGTGTAGGTGCTTATTCAAGTCACGTTTTTACTGATGATCTCAACCCATTAATATTTCCACCGATATATCGAGGGATTAAACCGATGATTAAGTTTTTAGAAGAAGAAGCAACCAAATAGCGAGTTATTCCAAGAGATGAAAACAATCAGTTCATTTGTCCAAAACGGTAATGCAGGTTTTCGAATCACAAGTACAAGATCCAGTAGTTGATATTTATATGAAGGTTCGAATACTAGAAGTAGTTAAAGAATTCAAATATCTAGGTTTTACTTGGACAAATAAGATGTCCTTGAAACCAACGATTGATAAAATTCTTGAAAAAAATTAAAGAACGTGTAGTAAATTAAGACGAATGAAAGGTGGTAAGGCCCTCTCGAAACAAGTCTTTCGAAGATGTTTCTTTGCTTACAGTTTTCCATATTTTGCCTCGATATTTTCTCTATATCCATTCCTGTCGCCTACTCAAAAAGAATTACATCTAAGAAAATTTAGAAACACCTTTAGATTGGTTCATTGCTGTCCCTTTGCTGGAGCAACAAATCTTCTCCAGATAACAAATGAATCGTCTTTAGAAGGATGTGTAAAAAGATATATAAAGACAAGATCAGAACAAATTTAAAACTCAGATTTAAGTCGTTTGCTCTTTTACAATGATATATTTTACTCGAATACATTTCTTAAGAGTACAAATGATCACCTGGGATAGTATTTTTTTCAAATGAAATGAGTTAGACATATGCATGAAAGGCATCAATCACTACTTATTCAATGGCTTGAGTTTTTATGTTCGTAAAATCTACCATGTTATTGTTTGAGTTGTTACTCTCTCTCTCTCTCACCTGTTCAGGTCACTATTTTTCCTTCCTCTACTCGTCTCACCATGCTTCGTTTCTCTGTTTTGTTTTATTACTATGTAGTGCGCGTTTTCTTCTTTCGTCTCTCTTTTTTTTCATGATCATGCTAACTCAACACCAGTGAATGTGTACATTTTTACTTGTAATCGCTTCCGAGTGTAAAAATAAGGAGAACGAAATAAAAGAAAACAAATCAAAACACCATTCAGTTGATTAAAGAAAGTGAGTAGTACCATTCCACTAATATGCATGACGAAGTTAAAGTAATGTCTGATTGTTTGATGAAACAAAGCAGTCACTGGATCCATCGATTAAATTATTTCTTGTTCATTTTAAAGAGAAGATTGATAGAACTTCGATCGATTGACATGGCTCGTTTGTCGCTTACAAAACGTGATATAGTTCATTGTCATATTCAAATTCGGCTGTTGATTTCACTCTTTCAACCAGTGACTACCGTGTCTCGCTTCGATGCCAGCAAGCTCAAAAGAGAAATTGTCAAGTAGATCTGGTAGATATTATTGTCGTACAGGCAAATTGATTCTACTGTTTCTAAAAATCAGACATAATTGAGTCTTTCAAGTGTTATAAATTAGGAATTCTCAATTGAAATCATTTCGTAGATGTTCTTCTTCTGGTTTGAATTCTATCGCAAATCATTCAGTAAAACAGTTTTTCTTTGTTCTCAAAGCTGTGCATACGTGAATTGATTTCAATTTATTGAACTGTCTCCTTTAAACAGCAAAAAGATTGTGTTGCACGTTACTCTTTCGAGAACTAATTTACTATATACAAAATACTCAAGAGTTTTCGAACTTGTTTTTCGTCATGCTTTTGATCTGAACATGAAAAATTTGAACAAAAAAAAGATGACCAGTATCGATTTGATCGATTACTTTGGTCCTGGAGGACTAAATGTAATGCTTCAGTCTCATAACATTGAGTTGTGTTTAATCATCGATCACGGCTCGTCTTTGTTCTTCATTATTTACCTTTGATTTAAGTTGCACTAAGTTATAGGTTGCGCAATTATTCTCTTTACTTGTCTGAATATCAAAACTCAGTATAGGTATTGCAAAAGTATATAGAGAGACAGTTGTTGACTTTCATCTTTTACGAGTCTTTCATTCTAACCCAGTGCGATGGTCGTCTTTGGTGTTACTAGTCATTAACATTGGAGAAATTGATACACGTCCTGATCGATTAGTTCTAGTTGTAATTAACACTTTCAATTTTTCTCAGGTTGAAGAGAAATAAACATCCAAGTTTCACAAAAAAAGACCCTATTTTTTTAATAGAAATTAACTAACACTTCAACATTCATTATTCTCGTAGTATCTACCCTATTTTTTTTGTGTCACTATCTAGAAGAAAAAAAACTGATTATCAAATTCTATACAATGACTTCTTTGTTAGCCAATAAAGTAAAGACAATAAAATCCTCATCATATCAATAAGAACATACTAAGATCAAAAATTATTTATTCTTAGTTATCATCAATTAAATTGAATGTTCCTTTTCGATCTCATTTTTATTTCATGTCGATGACGTCAGAGAATAACGTTTTGTCAATAACGATTCAATCACTAGCAGAATGATCGTTATTACTGCAAATTTGTTTATCAACAAAAAAAAATTTGATTGCATTTATATGATAGAGCAAGCAAATTTGCTTCTTTCGATCAATATACCGACGAAAAAAATCAATGATTGTACTGGAAAACATTACTCATTGATACAGCTCATCAGGTTGTCAATTGAATACTTGATTTCTTGCGCGATAACGATCTCTGCTTAAATAATAACTTTAAAAACTACAGTATCTAAAAGATTTTGAGAAAAGAGTACCTCAATCGAAATATCTTTCGACAGCTTTTATTTGAATGGTCATATGAAAACTTCGAACGATTTTTTATTAATTAGTACAACCGATCTCATGTTCAGAAATTATTACACAATAATCATCCGTCGAAGATCTTTTCAAATGAAATTAAGTACAAGCATACTGATACCAATGGCGATCTTATTCAGTGATCGAATCATTCGTGAATCTTATTTATTCACTTGTTGATCGTATCATCGAATTTTATTGTACTGCCATAATTTCAGTGAAAGCCGTTAAGATCGGAGATGTCACATCACCTCATTCCTTCTTTCAAGTCGTAACCAGACGTTTCCATTCTTCTCATATTTACTCATCCGCACCTTCAATAATTCGAATCATCATTCGATCTGAATCTCTTCATTCAAAGAAAAATATTATGATTTTTCTCTGAGACTCACCCATATAAAAATGTATGGCATTTAAACGTGTTTATAATTCATCTTTGGGAAAAAAATCATATTGGTGCCGCAGATTCGTGCTGCGTTACTGCATCAAGTTCACATGATGGTTAGCTCTTTCTAGAGCATATGAACACACAACAAGTTTTACATTTTTACACGAACCTTTAAATGGTGCAGTGAACAAGGCTAGAACAGACGACCTTTAGTTATAAATTAACATACTTAACCAATGAGTTACATTGGTTCATGAATGCATCTGATACATGTCTATTTTGATAAGTTAATTCGTAATATCACTTAAATGATATACAAGAAAGAGGATAAAAACAAAAATACAGTTAACCTATAGTTGCTAATTTCTCTTTATGCTATTTGAGAAAAAATAAATTTCAACAGTTTTTATTTAAACAGATACAAATGAATAAAATCTTGTTTAGTATTAAAGTTAAAACTAAATAGAAATGGAAAAATTTCACCTTTTGTTTTGACAAAAAAATTAAGTTAGATGCTTCAACAAAAATTATCTCTTTATAAGAAAATACCAAGTGAAAAATTAGCTATAAATTCGACGTGGCTTGTCAATTACATCTCATTCACTATTAGATTCATTTTAGTTTTTAACGAATTGCATTTTTTTAACTTTAACATTTAAATCATATTGTGCTCGAATTATTTATCAGGGCTATCATTCATTTAAAAATGAAATCTCTCATACAAAAAAAATCGTTAATTGAAAAACTTAGAATTTATATGATATGAAACATATAATCTGAAATTAAAAATAAGCCTTTTTTCATAGGAAAAATATTATCAGAATCATTATTAGGTAGATACTACTAAAACCATATGCCATATTACATAAAAAGATGAGTAAATGGTCATATTATGAAAAATAGACGTGAAACGATGTTTTACTAATACGCAATCAATCTTATTTAGCAAATTCTATTAAAGAATAGAGTAGACCACAGACAAATGTTTTCATCTTTCATATAAACAATCAAAAATATTTAAATTCATAAAACTTTTGTTAATTATTCCAATAAAAAAGAGTTATTTGTGCAATCTTGAATGACATACAAACCTATTTTACTACTTTCTTTAATAAATGCATTCAAACGGATTCGAAAGCGCGTTAATATGCGTTTTATCTGCGTTTGGAAGTTATATGGAAAGACCCATACGTCTACCCAACTGAATTAAAAAAAATAATTTTTTTGCTTCTAGTTTGTAGCTTCCAAATCGAGATGATACGATAACATGACACCAAGCCTTTTCTTAAATTTTAGTAACATTTTAACGAAGATCCCTCTCGGTGAATTTATGTATACATTTTCTTCTAGACACAATTCTCTTCGTTAACTGTCTTTGAATGTAAGTTCAGGTGCATTTCGAAAAGCAATGTATACGAATGGTTTTTATCAACTCTGCCAATTAGATAGCATTCATCAGAGGAGAGATGCCTTCTTTTTTTATTGGATATGATCATAACGCTTGAAAAGCTAGGAATGCGTGTCAACAAGTTTCGAACAAGAATTAATGTATAATTACAGGGAATGGAACGTTTAATTATATTGAAACACAAATTAATGAGTTACTGCTTAATGCAGTAAAACCAGCTGAAGAAAAACGAACAAAACGCATTTTACAACTTGAGCTCGCGCATTTTAACGCGCTCAGATTTTTAAATGCATTAAAACTAACCAAAACTGTAAGATAAAACTAATAAAAAGGCATAAGTTTAAAAGCCAACGACTCGTTTTAACGAGATCATACTCTGTTAATAGGGGTTTTTTAAGCCCCCCCTCTGCTAGCAACCAACTTTGTTATTTTTCATCCGATTTCAACTAAAATTTCAGAGAATATTAGTTTAGGCTAGGATAGATCATGGTTAAAATATCTCCCCCAAATCTCAAAGATATGCACAAATTCTAGTCAATTCATTGGTCAAAAATACCCTTTACGCGGGCAAGATTTTCAACATGAGGATACTAGCTAAGCATGTCGGCGTGGTTTTTAAATTGTAGAGTGCCCCTAGGGCTAGGTCGTAATAGAACCGATTTTTGAATTTCCCTTTATTTGATTTTTAAAAATACTTTTTCGAAAAGCTTTCAAATTCATGGCCAAAAAAGGGCTAATAAAAATGAAATATCTAAGTTTTTTAGTTCAACAAATGAGAAATTCAAAAATTCGGACTCTATTACGAGTCAGCCCCACTTGTTCTCTATGCAATAAAAAAAATTATCCCTTCTCCATTGAGTCATTATTAAGAAAGGCGTGCCCCTGTAAAGGGTATACTCGGAAAAACTGATTTTGAGAATAACGAAAAAACAAAGATTTTTGATGCGGTAAGTGTCTCTATTCGAAATAAGTCTGCTTATTTGCCTAATATTGTCGCACTATTCCTCAAAGTTTATTGATGGCATGTACGTGGATATATCATCATACGAGTAGAGGTACATATCATGCCTAAATTTTGATCATGGTTTCTTATACATACATGTCAGTACATGTCACACATGTTTTTATCAACTTTTTCGTTAATAATATTTTCATTCTTTTGTCTGACCAAGAGAGCTGAAATTTTTATGACATATATAACTAATCAAGATCTTTTAGTTCTGAAAATTTCAGCTCTATAAGTATGACTAATGGTAAAATACATAAGTTTTTATACTCGATTTTTGCTGAAAAATGACGCAAGAATCATGTACGAAAACTTATGTATTTTACCATTAGTCATACTTATAGAGCTGAAACTGTCAGAAATAAAAGATCTTGATTAGTAATATATGTCATACAAAATTTCAGCTCTCTTGGTCAAACAAAAGTATGAAAAATATTATTAACACTGTATCCTTAATTATTATGAAACCCCTATACGTCTCAGTAGCACATCCTTAGAAAAAAAATTCGCCAGAAAAAGACCAATGTACACGTTTTGGCAAAACAAATTATGCTAGGTTGTAGTTCATTACAAGGGCTATCAGAATATGTATAAATCTCAAAATGGAGTTTTTTTCGAAAAATTGACTTTTCTGAAGACGGGAGTGGGGCTAATGAATTGTTAACACATGAGAGGTAGAACCTCAATGGATCTGGGCCCGCATTTCATCAATCATGTGAGCGAATAGATACTCGGGAGCAGCTCACATATATTTGAAGAAAAATGACAAGTATATTGAAAGTCAAAGAAAACAATAAATATTTGAAATAAAGTGGTACGTGAAGACCAGTTCTGCTTTCGAGCTATTTGTGATTTCTAAAAAGCTATATAAATCTGTCAAATCAAATCTGTGCTTACAAGAAAGATTTCATGTGAGTTCAATCTTATAAAAGAATCGTCATCATTGGGCTAAAAATTGAATATAGTATCTGACAGCAGTGGTTACTGAGAAGTTGATGTTATTGGATGAACCACTTAAATTATTATTATTTTATTGTGTCCAAATATCACGTGATACACTGTTATTTAAGAGATGATTAAGTAAACTTTACATCTTTGTCTTAAGCGATGAGTCAGAATATTCGAGTTTTAATCAAGATTTATTGCGATTGATCATGGCTATGAATAGGAAATTTGAAATGAAAACGCGTATTCAGTACTTTTCAAAGATTCCCAAGGAAGAAATCAATAACCTGTTGAAATCATTCTCGTCTGCTCTTACTTCTTAGAGTCAGCTAAAATCGAATGGTCTATAAGAGTAAATCAAAAAATACGTCGCATTGATACACGTCTATACAAGAAAAATCAACCAGTAGCAGAGTAGTTTGCGTATCATAAATGTGCAAAGATCTGAAGATGAATTCTGAAGTAAATATATCTGTCTGTCTGCTAAACGTTGTTGATTTCTGCTCGATTAGAAATAAATGGATAGATTTTCTTGCTTCTGTTGCTTTCGTATAAAGTCATGTCACCGACTTGCTTTCCTGGAGTAGTTCAATGTTTTTTTTGCTTCTTCTTTTCAATTGCTACACTAGGATTCTAAGATCCAGATACGAATCATTTCAACAACAAATATATATAGGATATTATCTTTTGAGGGTAGTTACTTGGGAAGATTGCTCAGCATTTTATGCCGTATTTGAAGCATCGATCATTGAGACGATGCAGCAGCATATAGATTAGGTACACTTTAATTCAAATTAATATAAGATGTGAAAAATAGATTTATTATAATAAGGGTAAATGATCACAGTTGGAAAGAGTAAGTAATAAAACTAGTTATATTTGTCGTCTTTACTATCTACTGATCTAACCAGAAGTTTTATGCGTTCCCCAAGCAGCATCCATTTGTTTTCGCACCATAGGTATATTTTTAACCATCTCTATGAACTCGTTGACATCCACCAAGCTGCTGCGCTCACCTCTTTGTAGTAGCGCTAATATTTGTCGACGATCAATTTTCAGTTTCTGCAGTTTCCAATACAATTGTAAATTAAACTGATGATTCGATTTAGTATCGCAGATATAACTCTCTTCATGAATCATACGAATGAGGCTAGCCGAGAATGGATCATCGCTAGAATCATGAATGGTATGTGAAAGGAAGTGAGCAAAGTAAACACTTGCAGAGAGAAGGTCTTGATAAAAAGAAAGCAATTCCTTCGCTTGGCAGGGCACTCTATCAGTTAACTCGTAATCAAGTTGATAATCGACTATGCCATGCTGCTTTGGATCGCATAAGCAATGTTCACAGTGATTTCGATATTCGTGCAAAACATCACACGTGATCCAAAAGTCGCTATATCGCCGAATCGGACGATCGCACGTATAACATAAAGCGGACGGTCGTTGAATTGATTTCGGACGCAACTCGATAAATTTCGATGCGGATATCAAGTTGCTTAAAAGACAGTTTCGAAGAATATTTCGCATTGCTTCCATTATCGGACGAACCAACTGACGAATTTGCAGGGAGGCATATTCCGTTCTTTGTAATCCTTGATGTAAGAGATATGAATGATCGCTTTGACAGGCATAGCTCAGGAGCTGCTTCAGTGCATTCTTTGAAATCGACCAACTCTGCTCACATTCCGGCTGATGAGGTCTGTGCCAACGTGCTTTAACCAAATGAAGAAAGAAAGTACTGTCAAAAGATAATATGCGCTCAGGCTGCACTTGTATGTTGTTAGGCGAGAGTGATTGAAGCTGTGATTGAATTCTAGCATTCCTTTCATGATCCGGGATTGAAAGGTATTTGGTGAAACAAAAGAAGAGATTATTGTGCGCTTGTGATCCAAGAAAATCAAGTAACTGTATCAAATGCTGTCGATAGGCAGTGAGTTGCGAGTCTCCTGACTCGACGAGGACACAGACGGTATTTAAATGAGTTAGATTCGAAATATACGATAGTATGTGTTGCATCTTTATATCATCGTGAGCTTGATCATATATATCAGAAAAACCAGGAGTATCGATGATGCATAACTTTTGTCGGTTACCCACATCCATTGTATACGATTTGCAACGCTGAGTTGTAGATTGACCAGAACGGTTATTATCTTCGTTACGATCGTTTTTACCGAGTTGAATGAAATGTGATTCGCACTCAGTTATTAATGGAAACATGAATGAAACAAATACATACAGGAGAGATCTGCTCGATTCTGCTTCACGGATTGTTTTGAATTGTAGACAGTTAGCGATGGTGTTAATTAGTGTTGATTTGCCTACCCCTGATTTTCCTATGAGAACGATATTTATCGTCTGATTTTTAGAAGACTTGATTGCAACCTTGTGGAATTCTGTTTTCTTTGGCGTCACAGATTCATCCATACTAGCACTTGGCATGAAGTTCTTTAATGGAAATACTTTTATCATATCCAATTCATACGAACAGTAAGCGAAATCGACATAAATGAGGTCCAAGTCTGGATCTGTTGATCGTTCACTAGTCAAGTTTTCATAAATATTTTGAAATTCTTGCTGGTATATAGCATTTAAACTGTCATTGGAGCACAAGAAGCGTTGTCGTCGAGTATCTCTAATTAGTCTGTGTTGGATTTTATGTTCATTATCACCATGTTTAATACCAAGTTTATCAGCTTTCCAATAATTAAATCCTCCTTTTTTTAAGCGTTCGATAAAATCTTGCTTCTCTTTCAAAGTTCTCAGGTCATGCTTGAAATCGTCGATGACATGCTTCAAATTAGCTTCTATTGCTTGAAACTGGAAGTGCCGCTGAAAATCCTCTTGCGACTGTTTACCTTGACGAAATTTAAGAATGAAATCTCGGGCTTGCATCGTTTCCTGGTTATATTGATTTGATAATTTCGCGACTAGAGCTTGTAAAGTATCAAACTGTTGCTTTAAGTGAGTTTGCCCAATGTTGAACGTTTTGTCATTAAGAAATGTTGCCCACATTTTCTCCAGAGATGATAAATGAAGCCAATGTTCCTCGATTCTTGTCGCAATTATCGGTTCAATCGGAATAAAAGTGGTATTGTTTTGAGTAGAATCTAAAAAGCGTTTATTGAGGGGATGAAGGATATAATTGCACGGTTTATAATTATCACGACTGTTTTTCATTTTGCGAAGTTCCTGGTACACATTAACTATTGTTTTTTGTTTGCTTAAATGACGCAAGTTTGAATAGACGTGTGTTGAAAGAATTCGGTTCAAAACATTTTCATTAACAGCAAGTTTCGTTTCATACTTCAAGCAATGACATATCTGATGGATACTATCATCAATAGCTTTAGAATCATCAACTGGTAACCTCAACAAAACCACAACATGGATACCTCGATCAATTGCGGTAATGACATGAGTAGCAGGTGCTCTAAGTCTTTCTGATAGAACGGTTTTCTTGTTGAGTACAGCTTGATCTCGAACCAAGTAAGAATAATAGAAGATACGAGTGCAATCATCGATTACAAATGGATAATTAACGACAGAAGCAACACCTGTTGGTGCAACTAAGTTCGATAACACACTCAATCGGATATCAGTGGAAAAATTGATGAATCGAAGGACATTTTGATTCTCAAGCTTATCGCCACTTTTTATCATACATTTTATGAACGGATTTGAGTAATCTTCCTTTATATCCAAAGTAATATGTGGTGATGGCAGTATATGATCTTGGCATGCATCATAGAGATGTCCTATACGACCAGAAGGATCGATTGCCTTTCGAAGAATTGTGCTCGAAATCATGTCTGGATCCACTGATGGTTTAAAGCTTTCATACGAGTGTTGCGTCGAGAAACTAGAAACATCAGAATTTGAATTGAACAACACAAAATTAGAAGAATTTGTTAGCTCATTTGAATCTGGTATTCCCTGATTTCTAGACCATTGTTCTCCATCATGCGCTATCCAACTGCTCACACATCGAAGAAAATCTTTGGCATAGATATATTTCAACCATTTTTCTGGCAACTTCTTATAACCGTAGTGAACACCGGCCAATTGGCCATAGATAGCCGCTGTTGTATCAGTGTCATCGCCTAGGTTAACGGCATTGAGTACGCCTATCTCAAAAGAGTCTCCATCACTCCAAAATGCCCACAAGGCAGCTTCCAGAGCATTAACGATATATCCTTTTCCTCGAATTCCATCTTTATAGCCGCCTGGTTTTTGGTACGATCCACCAGCGATCGCCATGATTTCAGGATGAAGGGCTTGATTGTCGAACCACTCCCTATGCTCATCATAAAATGTTTTACTAGTCAATTCACTTTTCTTGGCACCATTAAGAGCAGCTACGATGAGAGCTCCGTAATAACGACATGCATCATAAGCTTTCACGTCTCCATGAGTGATCTTACCACTGATGCCCGAATATTCAACGGCCACTTTCGGGTGTCGATAAAAGAAGAGAGGTACAGGTGCAAGACGCATCAGGGCTCCATTACCAGCCACATTGTCTTTGCTGCAATTCACGTCGAATGCTTGAAGAAGTTCATCATCAGATAAGGAGTCAATTTCGTCTAAAGGAATGTTATGATCATGTGCAAATTTTCTTTGACGCTCTTCGAATTCTTGAATAGACTGTCGAGTAGCCGCGCCAATATCAAAACAATGACCGGTCGATGACATATAACCTTGTCGAAACCACCACTTGTAACGAACTAATTGGTCGTATGGAATAAAATCTCCACAAGCAATTAGAGAATTGGCTAAACAAAGTGCCATAGAAGTGTCATCCGTGAACTACAAAGGCAAGCTATTATGTAATTCTTGTCAAGACATTTCTTACCTGTCCTCGTTCTAGGCCCCATGTTCCTCCTCCTACTAAATCTTTAACTGGATGAGCCACCAAATAACTGTTTGGTCTGAATTCAACATGAGCACCAAGAGCATCACCTACAGTCAAACCAAACATCGAACCTTCAATACGATCTACTAGTTCAGCGTTAATGGTTGACAACGGAGCAAAGTCTTTCGAGGTGATTCCAAGCTCATCAGGTTTCTTAATCGATGTTTGATCGATATCATGAAACTGGCGCTTGAGCCAAGTTTTGCCTAATGAAAAAAAGAATGCTGATATTTAAATGAGTCAATGAAGTTCCTTGAAAATGACTTTTCAATTCAATGTATTGTATACAAGGGTGCTATTCTAATAGAATTAAAATCGTTATTAACGCTTACTTTTTTTTTTATGTTGTACGATAGATGTTGTTGGTTGCATTTCTTTCTCTGCAAGTAAATGATCAAAATTATTTTTCGAAACTTAACTAGGTCGGCATCATAATGTAATTGAATCAATTCAAGATAGAGAAACAGAAGGAGTAAAGCTACCTTGAAATAAATAATATTTAATCTTCCTGTAGTTTATCTAACAAGAACGGCATAAATTTATCGGATACATTTGTAAACTAAGCACAAACAAAACCAATTAGCTTTTTAATCATTGAGTAGAATGAATCATTATTATGAATGTTGATTATTCCTTTCTTCAAATAGTTCATCCTAGAACTATTCATTACTTCAATCTTTATTATGAAAGTACTAATTCTCATTTTTTTCAAATGTCGATAGTATTTTCAGTGCTAAACTATCAAAAAGGTCTCCATAACAAATACCTAGAGAAGTGTGAAGCTATTTTTGTTATTTTGACCTCCAGAAAAAAAATTCTAGAAGTTATTTGTATCATATCTAAGCTAATTCTTCGGCGAACGATCTTTGTTGCTTGATTTGGTCAATGATCAAAAAACTTTTTTTTAATCATGTATTTTGAATCATGCTCTGACTCATATGATTTAGAGGATAATTTGCCTATAATGATAATGGTATACTGTCATCAGAGAGGGACTGAAAAGCGTTTCTTTCTTGCTTTTATTAGCAGATGCACTTCTCACGAGCGACATCTATATAAAATCTTGAATCAATGGATAAATTCAGAATATTTTTACATAATATACTCGAGAATTAAAAAAGAAATATAACTATTTTATTCTCGTTGCTGGCTTCGACATACTTTTGTTGTTCTCTCAGCAATTGGTTTAAGAAAAATTATAGAGAGCATCATAAGCAAAACATTTTCGGTCAAAAACACATGTTTACAGAAACTTGCCGGTAACGAGAAGTGTTTCATTCGATTGTAGATGAAATTTAGAATTTTTTCATGCCTAAATTATAACACAGGACTTGTTCGGTCGAAATCATAAACTAAGTGCATAATCTGCTAATAAAGTGTGAGACATACGGGGTCTGACAACATACTATAAAATATTTTACCACAAATTTTAGTTACAATGATGCCCAACATTTTCCTGTTAGTGGCAATGATCGTATCTGGAACTTATGTTGGTCCTAAATATCATAAGAAACTTCACAAACCTTTACTCTCAACTTTGGTTAGAAAAAAGGTTTTAGTTTCTAAGTAATGCAATAGCTCTATATGTGGACGATGACGTTTCGGTAAAGTTTTTTGAGATGCTGAAGAATCCCACAATGCTATACTACGATAGCAGTGTTACTTGGATTTGTTCTTTGTGTTCATGGTTTTGCATCCTCATTCAAAAGTCTTTTATTATGTTAATACTCGGAATTTTAGCTTTATTGTAACGTTATTGTTCACTAAAACAATAACCCAAATAACTTCAAACTTTCGACAACCTTTATCTGATATTCTTTTCTGGCCGAATGGCTCCTTTTGACGTTTATTTAGTAAAAACGATTTATATTCCTCTTAATGATGTATAAGTAAGTAGTAATAACTATATGTAATCACTAGTGTAAGGAATGAAAAGAAGCAGACGCTGGATGCTCCAAAGAATTGGGAAAAATGTAATGTACCTCCTCTGTGAGACAAAATATGTATTTTGCAAAAGTAACGAAAATATTATTGCCTATATCAATAAGTATTACCTATGTCATACTCATCATTTTGCAAACTAGTAGTTTATACTTCGATGTATAATAAAGCAAGTATTTCTTTCTTGTTCAATCACTGCCATGCGTTACTTACCACAATCACTGAACAAAATCAAATGAAAATAAATGATGAACACACTGTTTTCAGTTTTGTTTATTTATTGATTTCTTCACTTGAAAATAGACACTTATCGCCGTATGACTTGTTTTTATACTAGTCGGTGGTGACTAATAGGCTTTTACCTTTTTCTTCCTTTTCCCAGTTTTATCATGGTTGTGTACACGCATACTTTTATTGATAAAAGCACATGACGAGAGGACAATAATCGGAGTGCTGGAGAGTTCAAACAACGAATTAGCTTAAAGCAACATACGGCAAGGTTAGATACATCAAAACTTTATTAAAATAAAGAACACAATATGTTTTCGTACAATTTTTGAGCGATTTTATTAATGCAACATATTCACCGATAGATGGCGATCTTCTATGTTGATTTCTAAATGTGTAGTGCTCCAATGGGCATGATGTCGCTGTTCTACTTCAAATACAATGACTGTGTGCACATGATGCTGCAAAAATTTGGAAAACAAAAGTAAAAATTTCATTATTTAGAGAATTCATTAATAGCTCCAAAGTGAAAATACTGTGACAAACAATGTTCGTACTAATTCAACAGTAGAAAATCATAGAATCATTTTTTAATGAACATATTTGGGTGTGCTCAAAAACTTTACAACAATTATTGATTTTTTGCATGGACTTTGAATTAGACCGACTCGTTATTAATATCTTTGATGCCTATATCATCAATCGGTCAAAAGCATCATTTGGGTTTTCTTTCTCGTTAGTGTTGACTCATTTTTAACCATCGTCATCGTAACAAGGGTGTGGGTGTAGATGGTGGGTGATGGTGTTTCTAGTCCATTCAGCCCCACCTCCGCCCACACCCCTAGTGAGTGATAGAAGGAGAAAAAGATGATAGGATGTCACTTTGTTTTTATGCACAGCTTGGACGAGATGTTATATTCCTTGATCACAGATCCGATTGTTATTGAGATTCAATATAATTAGGTTCTGTATCTGTATGAAATAGTTAGTGAATAGCAATATGAGAGAAAAAGAATATGACTTCATTTTGTTGTACAGCATTGGCAAGATATTGTACTCCTTGTGGACCAATTTTATTGCCTTCGAGATTCAATGTGATGAGAGTTTGTGTGAAAAAGAGAGTGAGCGGTGGTATGAGAGAAATCAGAATGTTACACTATTGTGTTGTAAAGCGTCGGCAAGATGCTGTGCTCGTTGTTGACAGATTTGATTGTCTTCTAGGTTCAATATGGTCAGTACTTGTGTAAAATAGGTAGTAAATGGTGGTATGATATAGAAGAAGAATGTCACTTTATTCTGTCGTAGAGTATTCGCAAGATGTTGCATTCCTTGTGGACCGATGTGATTGTTCAAGAGCTGATGGGTGATGAGTATCTATGTGTAACGATGAGTGAATGGTAAGATGAGAGAAATGAGGTATTACTTCATTTTGTTCAAGAATCTTGGCAAGATGTTGTGCTTCTCGATCACGAATTCGGTGGTCATAGAATTTTAGTACGGTGAGTGTCTATGAAACAATAAGTAAGTTTAAACTCCTAAAGGGTTCATTACTGGACGGTATGTTTGAACGTTTAAATATTAGAAACTGATGTAGTAGTCGAGTATATGGTAAAGTTGAAGGGCGCTGGCATTGTCTAGCATGTTTAGAAAAGAAAACGTTCGAAGATATTGCCAGATATGAAGATTATTGTAATGAGTGTAAAATATCTGCAATACTTTACTATGTCTATTGTCAGAATCTTAGAATCGGAGAAGAGATCGATAAGTTCGTTAGAAACAGAACACATTTTCGGGCAATGGTCAATTACCCTCCTCCATTTCTGCCGCGAAACAACGAACACTTTCGATTACTGAGGTGGATCATTCTTCCCTACGGCTCGTCATAGCACTGAGCTCGTCTGCGTATTTATTCGAAAAATTATGCGAAAGAATGACATTGTTGTGTAAATCATTTCAACTTTTGTACAATGAAACAACAATGCTTATATATCAGAGTATTTCGTAACGAAAGTAGCGTTCTCAAAATCTAGCTTACTATAAATGTTTGATATTTTAATATAGAACGATGGTAAATGACACTTATTGATTTGAGGTAGAAGTAGAGTTGTCATATTATCATTACTTATTATTATTATTACCTCGGTCATTGATAACAATTTATTATTACTTTATTACTCATCACTAGTCAAAAGTAATAATTTTTTCTATTACTTATTGCCAGTAATAAGTTATAAATATTTCAAAAGGAACAAAAGTAACTAGAAATAAAGTAATAACAAGTTGATAAATACAATATAACATTAATAAAAAACCAGATAAGGTAGAGATGCATTAATTTCGTTTATGGATTAAATATTATTTTGTACATATTTTCAAAGACTCTGATCGTACAGAAAGACAATGTATCAGAGGAATGTATTTTATTGTAACCACTCGTTTTTCATTTATATTCTCCTTAAGGGTGTAGGTGTGGATATCGGTTGAGAAGACTCACATCCGCATCCTAGTTACCAGACAGTATGAAATTTTTTCAGTTATGTATCTCGGGCTGATGTTTTTAATATACAAATTTACAAGGTTGCATTTTTATTGTTTTTTTATTTGAGACAAAGTATTAAAATAAACTTTTGATGTTTCTTTAAGAAAAAAATGAATATAATTTATTTTAGTTAGGTCATAAAACAAAAGATTCATGTTAGTTCTTGTGTAACAGATACCTTCTCTTAAACTTTATTTATATTCTTCTTCAGAAAAACATGAAAACAAAACGAGTCAGGCATCTTTATTCATATATGCAGACAGTTGGATATTAGAAAAGACGAGAAACAGAAAGACAGAAGAAGATCAAGAACAAGATATATAATCTATTGCTTTCAATATAAATCATAACAGTATCC